TTGGGGATGCCCTGCGGGGTGTACACCCCCCGCTGCGGCTCGGGCCTGCGCTGCTACCCGCCCCGGGGGGTGGAGAAGCCCCTGCACACACTGATGCACGGGCAAGGCGTGTGCATGGAGCTGGCGGAGATCGAGGCCATCCAGGAAAGCCTGCAGCCCTCTGGTAAGGTACCCCTGGCCTCCCAGTTCCCTCCTGAGTGCACTCCCTTCCCAGCGGCTTCTTCCCCATTCCAGCCACCCTGGAAGGCCCTTAAAAATCCCCCGTGAGTTGAAGAGAAGGCAGGTACGTGGCAGGGCCCGACTGGCATGGGACGGGCTCACCAAGGAAACTGCTACCGAGTCCCTAGCAGCCTGTTGCCATCACCAAGGGAGACTGTCCCATCGCTCCATCTGAAACCTCCAAGGGCTGTCTATTTGATAAGGGGGTCCCAGTGGGAGGCCTGGCTGCTGGTGCAAGAGTGGCAGATTAAGGTCCAGTTAAGTCAGCTGTCCAGGGCCAGAGAACTGGAGGATGGTGGTGGGGTGTGTGTTGGGGAGGATGGGGGAGGGGGGAAAGCTTTCTGTTCCTGATCCAGGCCGAGGGTGAAATCCCAGTGGTCTGGGGAGCTAGAGCCTGAACTTTTTTTATTTTTTTACATGGTCCAGTGGTGGAGTGGGACATACAAATTAGAGGGACTTTGGCGGTGAGGGGCATTAGACTTGCCCTTCCCCAAAGCCCAGAACCAGGTCACCTTGTTGTTTGAGAGGCAGTGGGAAGACAGGGGTCCCTCTGCCAGGCCTGGGCACCTCTGCCTGCCCTGGTATACAGGCCCCCTGTTCTTCTCTCCAGGCAGGTATGATTTGAGGTGGCAGAAAAGTCTTGGTTCCCAGCCCAGAGCTGCAGAAACCTCATGTGTGTGGGTTAGGGAATAGAGAAGTGGATGGGGGGCCAGGGGAGAAAAACAGAGAGAGACAGAGAGAGAGAGAGACAGAGAGAGAGAGAGAGAGAGACAGAGAGAGAGAGAGAGAGACAGAGAGAGAGAGAGAGAGAGAGACTCTGAGAAGGCCCTTGCCCTAACCTCATTGTTACACTTTCTTTTTTTGTTTCTCAGTGAACTTTCTCAGTTTCTTCTTAGACTCTCAGTGTCTTTTCCTTCTTTCTCTTGCTCTTTTGTTCTTCCTGATTTGTCTCTCAGCCTCTAGTTTCACTAGTCATGCTCTCCAGTTCTGTTTTCCTCAGTGTCTTCTGCTCATCATGCCTTTCTTTCTCCACTTTATTCCGTGTTTCTGTTTCAGTTGCTTTGCTTCTCTTCCTCTCTTTCTGTTGCTGTTTCTCTGTGTCTCTGTCACTGTTTCTGTCTTTCTCTGTTACTTTGGGAATCTCTCTGTCTGCCTTTCTGTATCTATGCCTCTGTTTCTCATTCCATCTCTGGCTCTGTTTTGCTCTCCTGTGCCTCTGTCTGTCTCTGTCTCTTTTCCTGGTGCTTGAAGCTTCCATTGTTGCAGTCCGGATACTGGGACTCCAGCCCCAAGCTTCCTGTCCTGGGTCCCAAACCCTCTACTTCCTCAATCCTCTGCAGCTTGTCAGCCGAGGAGAGCAGGATGCAGGGAAAACAGGAAGGAGGTGGACTCCAGGGGTCTGGGCCTCGGGCCTCTCTGCCCTTCCTGCCCTTGGGTAGGGAGAGATGGGTTAGCAGAAAACATTCTCGGAGAAATGCCAGCCTGGCACCCAGCATATCTGAGAAGGGGGGTCCTGGGGGAGAAAGTCGCTAATCTTGGGGCAGAGATGCTGGAGGCAGTAGTAGAGGAGGGGTACTGAGACTGGGAGCAAGGCTGAGCCCTTGGGTTCTCAGGGTACAACAGGGTCACATTCCCTTTGAATCTCCATCCTCCACCAGCCAGAGGGTATCTGACACCAGATAAGGATGGCTGCTAGCCTCCTCCTCTCTCAGCACTTTGAATGCAAGACAGAAGAGCCCTCAAAGGGCTGCATAGGAATACCTCATCCTCTGGTTGGGTTGGAATACTCCATCCTGTAGTGGAAGAAAATAAGATCCTCTAGGGGTTTGGGGAGGGCATGGCATGAAAAGTCCTTGGTTGTCCTCTGGATGTAATGCAAACTGGCCTCCAGGAGTCTCCAGGAGTGTCTAGGGTCTGAGTGTGGAGGTTCATGCTTGTAATCCGAGTACTTTGGGAAAATTACTTGAGGCCAGCAGTTCGAGACCAGCCTGAGCAATATAGCCAGACCCCCATCTCTACAAAAAAAAAAAAAAAAAAAAAAAAAAAATAGCCAACTGCAGTGGCTTATGCCTGTAGTCCCAGCTACTTGGGAGTCTGAGATGGGAAGCTCAAGGTTACAATGAGCTATGATCACATGATTGCATTCCAGCCTGGGCGACTCTATTTCTCTATTTCGTTAAAAAAAAAAAAAAAAGGGGTAGACTGGGCGCAGTGGCTCACGCCTGTAATCTCGGTACTTTGGGAGGCTGAGGAGGGTGAATCACCTGAGGTCAGGAATTTGAGGCCTGGTCAACATGGTAAAACCCCGTCTCAACTAAAAATACAAAAATTTGCTGGGCATGGTGGTGCCCGCCTGTGGTCCCAGCTACTCGGGAGGCTGAGGCAGGAGAATCACTTGAACCTGGGAGGTGGAAGTTGCAGTGAACCAAGATTGCGCCACTGTGCTTTCACCTGGGTGACAGAGCGAGACTCTGTCTAAAAAACAAACAAACAAACAAACAAACAACAGTGTCTTGGAATGGGGCAGCTTTAAGTCCCCTTTGGATGACACAGCCAAGGTCTGTAATGCCCCTTCTCCTTTCCTCCTTGTCTTGTCCTCCAGCCATGCAATGGATGCAGGTATCTGGAGAGAGACAGGAGAAGCCTGGAGGTACCTACTGAGCAAGCTATGCCCGTGCCCTCCCACACCTCCTAGTCATCATAGAAGTAATTCCTTGCTGTGACCTGGGCCACATGGCACCATGTAAATGGCACTCTCTAGAGTTCTGCTGCAGCCCTGCAGGGTCTGTGGGTGAGATAAGGTGACCAAGCCCCTACCCACCCATCTTTTTAGCCTTACACAGTCAGTAGGCCACTGTCCGCTTTAGGTCCCAAGGATTGGGCCCACTGGCCTGCGAATAGCTTGATCGAGGCTACCCGTCTATTCTTTCTGCCTTTTCTTTTTGAGGCTGAGTGTCAGCAGGTGGCTGGGGGAGGGTGGCCACTTGGCATGCCTCCTTCTTTGGCTGCTATGGTCCAGCTGCCTCTTGTTTGCCCCAGGGGCAGATCTCCCCTTTCCATCTCCAGCCACCCCCGTCCGCCCTCCTGTCTCAGCTTTCCATGAGCTGGCCAGGTTGTGGCTTAACACCACTGAGGCCATCAGAGATGAGGCGGGGTATGTGCGTCAAAAGTCCACAACTCTCCATCTTGGTACTGATCCTCGACTCATGGAATCTAGGGGAGTGGACAGCGGAAAGATCAGCGTTTGGACGGGCAGTTCCTAAGCTGGACTCTCAGTCCCTTTGGGACAGGGTTAGGGAACAGGCAGGCTGGGTTAATTTTTAGTCAATGCAGCAAATACTGACTGCCCCCCTACTTCAGTACTGGGAATCCAGTTATGTCATGGGAACAAGGGCATTCCCAGAAATTCTGTGCCTTGTGGGGAGGGGGAGGGAGGAGCATGGCCGCTTCCCGTTTTTAATTTAGTGCTGGCAAAGCCAGCAGTATTGGTGCCTCGGGTATCAGGAGTCTTTCCACTTAAAGACAGAGTGCTGCAGAGCTAAGTCTCTCCTCCTCCCCTTCCACCAAGTCTACTTCAGTTTCCTCATTTGCAAAGTGGGGAGGGCAACAGGACCTGCCTCACAATGTTGGGGTGTCTGGCATGGGGTAAGAGCTCAATAATTGAAGTGACGATGAAGATGGTGATGAAGAAGAAGCCAATGCTAGGACTTAGGGAAACAGTAGGACAAGGGAGCAAATTTGGGGCAACATTCAGAGGAGTTGAGAGGGGTGGGGTGGCCTTTGGTGCTTTTTGCTGCTGTCACCATGGGAAGAACAGGCCAAGTTGTCTTATCTGACTTTTTATTCTGAGGCTGGCAGCATGACACAGCTGTTGGGGGGATACCCCTTGAGCCAGACCTCAGAGAAAGGGCCTGGTACCCAGCACCAGTGGTCTTGGCTTCTCCAGCCAGAGTCTAGGGGAAGAGGGAAAAGACCCTTCTAGCAGGACAGGTAGGTGACCCTCTGGATCACAGCTGAAATTTCTGGTCGGGATGGATGGGCCCACTCAGTACATAGCCTAGGTGTCTCTCAGGGGCCAGGGGGTGGTGTTGGGGAGAAATCGTGAGGGTAAAATCAGGCAACAGGAAAGAGGAAATCCTCTGACTTTTGCCACAAACTTTGCAGCCGGTGGTGCCACAGCTGTGTGGCCTCTTCTCTCTCTGACGCCTTCCTTTCCTCTGCTGCTGGAGCAAAGACCGAAGTTTCCCCTATAGCCAGATGTCAGCTGGCTTAGCTCCAAGCTGGGGGCTATAGGAGGACCAAGCCTGCTTGGAAGTCCCATCTCCCAAACAAGCTTTTTGGAGGTCAGACTTTTCAGGGGAATAGGTCTGACTCCACTCCTGCTCAGAGGGGAACCCACAGGCACTGAAATTTCTCCAGAGGGCACTACCAGGATGAGTGGCACCAGGTGGCTGGAAAATAGCAAGTATTTAGCCAGTTTTGGAGATGAGAAGGTTAATGTTATCAAGAGACTCAATGCTGTAACCCTTACCCCCACAAAAACCTAGTGCTTAGGGGTGGATCCTGGGGTGGCTCTTCAGTCTGCCAGTTAAGCAGGGTCGGGCAAGGAAAAGTTACAGATTACATGGAAAGTCAACAAACCACGGTGCAGAGAAGCTGTTGAAGTCAGCATGCCCTGCCCTGGCTCTGTGTCTCTGACCAGGGCAGGGTCAGAGTGCCCAAGTGCATGTGGGTAAGGCACATGTGGATGAGTGTGTGTCTGGACACGTGATTGTTTGTATACATTTGCGATTCTTGAGCCCCAGCCTGTCTGTGTGTGAGTAGGCAAATACAGATTTACCCTGTGTCCCCATGAGACTAGGGAGGGAACTACTCTCCCTATCTGGTGGGTTCTACTCCGTGTAGACAAGAACTGGGGATAAGTAGGATGGCTAATGGGGACTCTAACAAGGGAGAAGCCAGGCAGGCTGCTGGCTCAGCTTTTCCCAGGTAACCCCTGATGTGACATGGGGCCACACTAACCCAAGAGCATGAGCCATGCCTCTGGGCTCACCCTGTGCCCCATGCAGCCCTAGGCTTCAATGAGCATACCTAATCCTCCTTGATGGTAAACATCCCAAATATCCATTAACAATCCTCTGAGGGTTAGTTGTTTGTGAACTTTGACTCATACAAACTCAGCGTTGTGGCTCACACCTGTAATCCTAGCACTTTGGGAAGTCTATGTAGGAGGATCACTTGAGGCCAGGAGTTTGAGACCAGCCTGGGCAACATAGTGAGACCCTGTCTCTTAAAAAAAAGAGAGCGAGAAGAAGAAACTCAACATGGAAAGCATAGTTGTGGTCATGCTTCTATTCCATATCTCTTGAGATTTTTGAGGCTGCTGCTACCCTAATGCTCCACACCTCCAGGATGGGAGCTCGCTCCTGAAAACTCTTCCCTGCTCCTTGAACTCCTGAAAACCCTTCCTTACTCCTTGAACCAAAGAATATTCTGCCCATTTACTGAGAGGAATGAATCACTGTACAAAATAGTGCTTGCTTTTTTAAAAAATTGAGACAGGGTCTCACTTGTTGCACAGGCTGAAGTGCAGTGGCTTGATCACTGCTCACTGCAGCCTCGACCTCCTGGGCTCAGGTGATCCTCCCACCTCAGCCTCCCAGGTAGGTGGGATTACACGTGTGCGTCACCACACCAGGCTAATTTTTTGTGGAGATAGGGTTTCATTATGTTTCCTAGGCTGGTCTTGAACTCCTGGGCTCAGCGATCCACCTATCTCGGCCTTCCAAAGTGTTGGGATTACAGGCATGAGCCACCCCGGCTGGCCCCTAGTACTTTCTTTTATGGTCATTACAAGAAAGCAAACTCAGGAAAAACAAAGGCTTTCCAGGTTGGAAGGGTGCCCCCTGGTGTTAGTGTCCTGGGCTGTGGCAAACAAGTCTACGTGATCTCCTCCAGTCGTACCTAAGTAACATGGTGGGGCCTTTGTTCATATCTCAGCTCAGCCTCTGTCCTTCTGACATTTGGTTCTGATTCTTTAGTTCTTGAATTTTTTGTTTGTTTGTTTGTTTTTGTTTTAAGAGACAGGGTCTCGCTGTGTTACCCAGGCTGGAGTGCAGTGGCGCAATCATAGCTCACTGTAGCCTTGATGTACTGGGGTCAAGCGATCCTCCCACTTCAGTCTTCTAAGTAGTTAGGACCACAGGCATGTGCTACCACGTCTGGCTATTTTTTTTTTTTTTGGTAGAGACAGGGTCTTGCTATGTTGCCCACGTTAGTCTTGAACTCCTGGCCTCAAGTGATCCTCCCACCTTGGCCTCTCAAAGCACTGGGATTACAGGTGTGAGCACCCAGCCTGGTTCTAATTCTTTGAGGTCTTCCATTTCCTCTTTCTCTCCACTCCCCAGCTCCAGCTTACACCCCTGAAACACTGTGACTCCATCCTCAAGCCTTATGGCTTTGTGCAAGGTGGAGGCATGGAGGGAGGTGATCACTGGGCCAGCTTAGGTTTCTTTGGCTGGAGGAATTCCTTGGGAGGGTCTCCAAGGAATGGCCTAGATCCCAGATCTTTCTCTGGTTCCTAACCGAGGGCTCAGGATCCATCTTCTTATGGGCTCCTTGGCACAATCCTCATCTTCTGAAGTTTATGCTTCTTCTTTTGCTGCCTACCTTGGCCGGGGGGTCTTGCCATAGTGTCTTCTCTTTGGTTGACTCTTAGGAACTTGATGTAGGACTGGAGTCCCCTCTGGACTGTCCTTGGGATTTTAAATGTGCAGAAGGATGGATTATATCTGTCTCCTCTGTTTATTTCTTTCCTTTTATTCCTCTTTCTAAGCCAGCCCTCCACCGTGACAAAAATCTTCTTCCATCCTTAGTGAATTTTATTAATAACCTTTGGTGTGGAAGGTTATTGACAAAGACTTTCTGGTTAGATTCCTCCTTGCCTTGTTAGATTTTATCCACATATTTCTCCCTACACCCCCCAAACTAGGAGAATGAAAAGAGAACCAACCCCCAAACTTTGGCTAGGCAGAAAAATACCATTTGACCCAGAGGCAGCTCTGGGATCGCTGCCACGCATGGAGGAACCTGCTAACTCCTCAGGAAAAAAAAATCCTGACGCAAACCAGATGTAACCTCCTGTCCGGCTGCCAACATCTGGAATGCTGGCAGGGGCTTTGCACTCAGGCCGGCAGAGAGCTGCCAAGCCTGAGCATTTCAGAGGTGGCTCTGATCTGTAGAGAGGTCTTTCAACCTCTTTCTCCAGCTCGCCCTGTAATCTGGTTTTGACTGCCTGGAGGGAGGAGCAGTGGTTACAGTTCTGGGACTTGAGCATGGGGTTTTTCTTTTTAAAAAAAATGTATTTTGTTTTATTTTTTAAGAGACGGGGTCTTGCTCTGTCACCCAGGCTGGAGTGCAGTGGTGTGATCATAGCTCACTGTTAACCTGGAATTCCTGGGTTCAAGTGATGCTCCCGCCTCAGCCTCCTGAGTAGCTAGGACTACAGGCACATGCCACCATACCCGGTTAATTAAAAAATTTTTTGTAAAGATGGGGCCTTGCCATGTTGCCTAGGCTGGTTGCAAACTCCTGGCCTTAAGTAATCTTCCCTTCTCAGCCTCCCAAAGTGTTGGGATTACAGGCATGAGCCACAATGCCCTGTTTAGATGAAGTTTTTCTTGAGCTCAGATAGAGCCTTCAGGAGATCCCACAGAGGGGTTGAAGGTCCAGCCTCATCACTCCTGTCTCCAGATCCCAGGTGCCCTGGTTCTGGGCAACCCCTATGGACTTTGGATGGAGTCTGAAGTCTAAGAAGGGAAACTTCCAGGTGGGGGACTGAAGGAATGTGTGAGGCTGTTCTTGTGGTCCTGGGACCACACAGGTTGTATTACACACACACACACACAAACACACACACACTCACTCTTCCTCATGCAGGCGGATACACTAACTCCCACTCTCTCCCACCCAGCCAATGGGGAGAGCCTTTTGGGCTAGAGTTCTCATTGCTCATGGAAACTCTGATTCTGGCCATTTGGAAGAGGGTGAGCAGAGCCCACAGCCCTGGGGATCCCCTGGCTGGCTCAGCCAGCCACCGAAAAAATCAGGAAAGGCGACAGGGAGAACGATCAGATGGAGAGGGGGATGGCGGGAGGAGCTCAATGGAAAGGGGACAGGATCCAGCAGGGGGCCCCCCTGCCTGCCTCAGACCTCCCTGCAGGGCCCAGGGGACCCTCCTGCCATCTGGGCAGCTGCAGCTGGTGACTCATCTGAGCACTGGCCTGGGTGGGGTGAGGGACAAGTCAAGGACTTCAAGAGGAATATTCTGAGAGATCCAGGGGAGAGGGGAGGAGGTAGGGGGCTGCTTTTGTTTCTTCCTGCTCCCCAGGTCCCCTGCTCTTCTCCAGCTCCAAGCCGGAGAATCCCCAGGAAGGAGAACGTGGGTGGGAGGCTGGGTTGGTGTGATGCTCTGACCTCTTCCGGTGCTGACCTCTCCTTATCGTGACCTGAATGCAGACAAGGATGAGGGCGACCACCCCAACAACAGCTTCAGCCCCTGCAGTGCCCATGACCGCAGGTGCCTGCAGAAACACTTCGCCAAAATTCGAGACCGGAGCACCAGTGGGGGCAAGATGAAGGTCAATGGGGCACCCCGGGAGGATGCCCGGCCTGTGGTAAGGACCTCCGATGCACAAATGTGCATGTGCATAGACACACACACACACACACGCCCCTCGCCCCCAAGCAGGCACACACACATACACCATCATCACCAGATCTGTGGTGTGTTCATTCAGCACACATTCTAGGGTGACTACCGTGTGCAAGGTACAACTAGTGTGAGTCATCAGGACCCAGAGAAAGCACTCATTCCCTTCCTTGGGATTCCTTTCCTGCCCATCAGTTATATCCATTGGGACGCTTAAGTGATTATTAAATACTGAAAAATACTGAAAATATTATTCAGTATTATTAAATACTGAAAAACTTTTATACCAGTTGGTAAAAAGCAGTTGCCCAAAGTGCCCTGGGGTTTCTTGACCTTTTTTGGATTCCCCACCCCAGACCTTCTCAGTAACCAAAGGATAAATGCTGGCCATAGCAGGGGGCCTGAGGACCCTGCTTCAGGGTCTGGCTAATGTCCCTTCTGAAGGTCTTACAAGTTGTCAGTTGTAAGTTTTATCTGTCCCTTCTGCATAGAAATCACCCCCTCCCTGGCTTTCTGCATAGGTTCCCATAGCCCCTTTCCCCACAGTGTCCCCTCACTTCCCACCCCTCCTTTGAAGAAGCTCCTTGGCTCGAGACCCTTTCCTTCATGTGTCTGCTCTCCCCACTGTGTCCTCTGGACCCAGGCCCCTCTCTTCACCTCACTGGGTCCTGCCCAGCCCCCGGGGCTCGGGCCTCCTTTTGGGGCCTTTAGTTCCCACTTAGCTCTGACCCCAGGCCTGGGCCTCCTGCCTCTCTTCCTTCTGCTGAGCAATTTTGTTCTCCCCTCCTCCAGCCCCAGGGCTCCTGCCAGAGCGAGCTGCACCGGGCCCTGGAGCGGCTGGCCGCTTCACAGAGCCGCACCCACGAGGACCTCTACATCATTCCCATCCCCAACTGCGACCGCAACGGCAACTTCCACCCCAAGCAGGTGGGTCTCTGTCTCCCGCTGGCTTGCCCCTGGCCTTGCCCCTGGCCTCAGCTCTGGGGCATTCCCAGCCTCTCCGCAGGATGGTCCAGGATGGAGATCTCAGGAAGGGGGAACTCCTCAACCCCAACCCAACCCGTTGGAGCCTCCCTAAACCCTACATCAGCGTCAAAACGTCACTCATTTTGGAGATGAGGAAACGGTGATCCAGAGAGGAATAAAAGCGCCCGGGCTAGTCCAGAGTCATAGAGCAAGTTAACAGCAGATCTTGCCTCCCTATCCAGGGCAGTTTCCCTCAGCCCTGGATTTCACCATCTCTGGTACAGACCTAGCAACCCTGACAACCTCTGGCTCCCAACACTCTCTCATTCACTCTACTCTATTCCTATGAGTCATTCCTCCTGCCACTGAGTGAGGTTTCATCTGGGAATGGAGGGCCAAAGTCATGAGGAGTCAGGGAGGAAACTCAGCTTCCCCCTCCCTGCAGGGCGAGCAGCAAAACCACCTGGAGTACAGCAAGGGTGGAGGTCAAGCCAGACTGGATGGTTGGAGACAGGCACTTTGGGTAGAAGCAGAGGAAGGAGTGGGCAGGAGAGAAGACACAAAGGCAGCAACTTCCCTATTCCTTCTTGCCCTTGGAAGCTGGGGTCCTCTGACAAGCCTCCAGGAGGCTGGGATGGTCAGCAGGGTTGGCCTCTTTCAGCCCATCTCTGGCCCGTCAGAATGGGTGGCCCGTCTGGGCAGGGCCTGGTGTGCCTCCTGCTGGGTGTGGCCTGGGGAACCCTAGCCTGGAGCTCTTTGTGGGTGTAGACAGACCCATTGCCCTGCTCCATGAGCTATAGATAAATCCACAATTTGAGCTGCCACTCGGCCAGTGGAGGCCTAGATATAAGGACAAAGGCTGCCCTGGGTCTGTGCATCCCAGGATGGCATGAAAAGGGTATGAGTGAAGGGCCAGAGAGGGCACCCCAAAACCAATGCCTAGCCTATTTCTAACCTTTATCCTAACACGGATTTTATCTTCGTCCCAATTTAAAAAAGTTTTTCTTGGCCGAGTGTGGTAGCTCACGCTTGTAATCCCAGCACTTTGGGAGGCCGAGGAGGGCGGATCACGAGGTCAGGAGATAGAGACCATCCTGGCTAACACGGTGAAACCCCATCTCTACTGAAAATACAAAAAATTAGCTGGGCATGGTGGCGGGTGCCTATAGTCCCAGCTACTCGGGAGGCTGAGGCAGGAGAATGATGTGAACCCGGGAGGCGGAGCTTGCAGTGAGCCGAGATCACGCCACTGCACTCCAGCCTGGGTGGCAGAGCGAGACGCTGTCTCAAAAAAACAAAAACAAAAACAAAAAAACAAAAACACCTTTTTCTCTTAATTTTAAAGAAACAATTAATAGCTTTATTTTTTAGAGTAGTTTTAGGTTTATAGAAAACAAGCAAGAGTACAGAGTTTCCATGTACTGTCCTCTACCTCAGTTTCCTCATTATTAACATCTTACATTATATTTGTTGCAATTGATGAACCAATATTGGTATATTATTATTAATTAGTGGTTTATATTAGGGTTCACTTTTTGTGTTGTATAATTCTATGCATTTTCTTCTCCCATTTTTTTTTTTTTAGAGACAGGGTCTCACTCAGTCTCCCAGGCTGGAGTGCAGTGGTACCATCACAGCTCACTGCAACCTCCACATCCTGGGCTCTCGTGATCCTCCTACCTCAGCCTCCTGAGTAGCTGGGACCACAGGCACACAACTATGTCAGGCTAATTTTTTTTTGTTTTGTTTTGAGACAGAATTTGGCTCTTGTTGCCGAGGCTGGAGTGCAATGGCGGAATCTCTGCTCACTGCACCCTCCACCTCCCGGGTTCAAGCGATTCTCCTGCCTCAGCTCCTGAGTAGCTGGGATTACAGGTGCCTGCCACCACGCCTGGCTACTTTTTTGTATTTTTAGGAGAGATGGGGTTTTGCCATGTTGGCCAGGCTGGTCTTGAACTCCGGACCTAAAGTGATCCACCCACCTTGGCCTTCCAAAGTGCTGGGATTACAGGCGTGAGCCCCCATGCCTGCATGCCAGGCTAATTTTTTTTTTTTTTTTTTTTTTTTTGTAGATGGAGTCTCACGCTCTGTCCTCTAGGCTGGAATGCAGTGGCATGATCTTGTCTCACTGCAACCTCTGCCTCCCGGGTTCATGCCATTCTCCTGCCTCAGCCTCCTGAGTAGCTGGGACTACAGGCGTACCACACTGCCTGGCTAATTTTTTGTATTTTTAGTAGAGATAGGGTTTCACCATGTTAGCCAGAATGGTCTCGATCTCCTGACTTCGTGATCCGCCCATCTCGGCCTCCCAAAGTGCTGGGATTACAGGCGTGAGCCACCGCGCCCAGCCTATGCCAGGGTAATTTTTTAAAAAAAAATTTGCATAGAGATGGAGGGGTCTCTCTTTGTTGCTCAGGCTGGTCTTAAACTCCTGAGCTCAAGCGATCCACTGCCTCTGACTCCCAAAGTGCTGGGATTACAGGCTTGAGCCACTAGGCCTGGCCTCTTCCTCTGATTTTTATCCCATTGAAAGTTCTGACACTTGAACTTTATCCCCAGACCAATTCTGATCCTTAAGCCATCCTTTACTCCAAGTTTAATTCTCACACTGAAATATACATTTGCGTCCCCTGAACCCCCTACTGTCTAGTTTTGACCCAAACTTTTGCTTAACTTTAATTATTCTGATCTTGACCTCTGTCTTTATCCCAATTGTGTTTCTAACCTGGGCTTTAACCCTCACCCAACTCATCCAACTCAAATTTTAGTCATATTTCCTAATTCAACTGCAACTCTTCTCCTGGTCCTACCTTAATCCCATCTTGAATCCTACTCATAACTATAATCCCTTTCTTAACATCCCAACCCAATCAGAATATGTACCCAAAACATCTCCGACCTGAACCCAGCCTTTCAAATCCAGCTGTGCCTTTAAACCCGAGGGCCTTCTTAAAGTCCTGCCTTCTAGAACTCTCTGGACCTTTCCTTCTTGACCGTGTTCTCCCTGCTTCAGTGAGCTCAGAAGACCCATGCTCAAAAGAGAGTCACCGCCCTCAGAGGCCATCTTGAAGCAGCAACCGTCTGACTTGGGGGCTGGGCTGGGATTGGGGTGGGCCACTTGGGGTCTCTTTTCCTGCCTTGGAACTGACTCCTCATGCCCTTCTCTTGGCAGTGTCACCCAGCTCTGGATGGGCAGCGTGGCAAGTGCTGGTGTGTGGACCGGAAGACAGGGGTGAAGCTTCCGGGGGGCCTGGAGCCGAAGGGGGAGCTGGACTGCCACCAGCTGGCTGACAGCTTTCGAGAGTGAGGCCTGCCAGCAGGCCAGGGGCTCAGCGTCCCCTGCTACTCCCATGCTCTGGAGGCTGCAGAGCTGACCCAGAGTGAAGTCTGAGTCTGAGTCCTGTCTCTGCCTGCAGCCCAGAAGTTTCCCTCAAGTGCACGTGTGCATGTGTGCGTGTGTGTGCGTGTGTGTGTGTGTGTTTGTGAGCATGGGTGTGCCCTTGGGGTAAGCCAGAGCCTGGGGTGTTCTCTTTGGTATTACACAGCCCAAGAGGACTGAGAGTGGCACTTAGCCCAAGAGGTCTGAGCCCTGGTGTGTTTCCAGATCGATCCTGGATTCACTCACTCACTCATTCCTTCATTCATCCAGCCACCTAAAACCATTTACTGACCACATACTACATGCCAGCTCCAGTTTTCAGCCTTGGGAGGTTTTATTCTGACTTCCTCTGATTTTGGCATGTGGAGACACTCCTATAAGGAGAGCTCAAGCCTGTGGGAGAAGAAAAATCTCATTCCCAGGGTCAGAGGAGAAGACACATGTACCTTGACCATCGTCCCTCCTCTCAAGCTAGTCAGAGGGTGGGAGCCTAAGGAAGCGTGGGGTAGCAGATGGTGTAGTGGTCACGAGGTCCAGACCCACTCCCAAAGCTCGGACTTGCCAGGCTCCCTTTCTCTTCTTCCCCAGGTCCTTCCTTTAGGTCTGGTTGTTGCACCATCTGCTTGGTTGGCTGGCAGCTGAGAGCCCTGCTGTGGGGGAGGGAAGGGGTCAAACTTGAAGCACAGAGGGCTAGGGAGGTGGGGTGCATTTCTTTGAGCAGTCAGGGTGGGAAGAAAGAATGCAAGAGTGGACTGAATGTGCCTAATGGAGAAGACCCACGTGCTAGGGGATGAGGGGCTTCCTGGGTCCTGTTCCCTACCCCATTTGTGGTCACAGCCATGAAGTCACCGGGATGACCCTGTCCTTCCAGTGGCTCAGTCCCTGTGGCTCTG